ATTAAATGATCCCTCTCCATCGTCAGCCTGTTCATTTGGAGACCAAAGGGTAAGGCGACACCTGTTTAAGGATGAGATGTGTAAGAACCGACCTTTCTTGTTTGCCAGGCTGTTCCATTTAATGCATCTTTAGTTGACCATGGTGCCATAATGGTCGGGTCGGTTCCTGACCACCCGATCATTGGTCTAGCCCTTGATTCGCCATACTTCTCATGTGGGGCTTACTTGTTTGAGATAGAGGGTACTTGTACATGCTCGGCTCGGTATGAAGGTGTCGGCATCTCGCGTCATATGGTACCTTCTAAGGGGCTCGGCTCATAGTGATGGTATGAGCCATCAACACAAATGCCTTAGATGATATGGGAGGAGGAATGCATGATATTACTGCCTTAGTAACGATGTCAAAAACATATCCTCCAAATTTAATGTTGTAGTGGAGAAGGCCCCCTCATAATTCACACTAAGACTGTCCTGTTGAAGTAAGTATAAGCTAGAGCAGATCCTAGCGTACTCTGAAGGGGATGATTATGACAGAACTTATTCCGCCTAGGCTGCTGAAGCTTTGGATTTATTATTATTCTGACGCTCGATGATATAAGGAGGGAGGCTCTGATCGATATACCAGATGATGATTAGAGAAAGGAATGATAGACAGAACAAGGAAAATAGGTAGAAGAAGAGAAGGAGAGATTAGGGTTTAAAAGATAGAATTAATTATAGGGCAGATAAAATCCATCAAAGTCTCAATTACAAAGCATGTATTATAATATTTATACTGAGAAAGCTGGGGATAGAAGTTAGAACTTTGGGAAGCATCTAGTAATAAGGAAATCTTTCATCCCAGAATTTATCAAAAATAGCCAAAACTTGACCCCCAATTTAGAAAATGTCAGTTTTTGTAAAATATTTCAAATATAGCAAAAAAACTTACTTAAATAAACACAAATGCCCTCAAATTTAAAACTCACATAAACCTAAGAAAGAAAACCTTATTAGATTGGGAATCTTTGTACATACGTTTGGAGACGTATTGCTGCCTAATCAAACAGTGAGTGCAGTTCTTCTTGATTATTCATTCAGTTTCTTCTTCGTCTATTCTTCATACTATATTATATTACATATAGGGTAGACATCCAAAAACAATTGAAAAACAACAATTTCTTTTCTTTCTTTTTTTGTGAATTAAACAGAAAATTGTATACAGTGAATCTGAATTGTGAAGCATAAGAAACATAAGCCAGACTTTTTCCGTTCACATCAAGATAAAAGTTTTCTATGTGTGCAGATCATTGCACTTTAAACTTCCTTGCCTAACTTCTATGATTTTTACTTCCCTTTTATATTTAACTTGCATTTTAGGTATTAATACGGAGTTTTAATTATAATTATGGCAATTAATGAAATGCTTGGAATACATTATAAATAAAATATGAAGTCTGATGTCAACGATGTAAAAACATAGGAATATTATGACCTCTTATATTTTACTGGTCATTTAAGTTTAAAATTAGGTTTTACACATAGATTTATAGAATAATGGGTATATGTCTAGGAAATAAAAATGGTAGGGACCTATATTGGACAAACCCTAAATTTTATTAAGAAACCACAAAAGAACACAACAATACAACAAAAAGTAAATCCAACCAAGCTCAGCAACAAGGATATAATTTTTTAGTGAAAAATGTTGGGAACACTGACTTATATCATGATTTGATTTTTCTTTGGCCTACAAATCAATTCTTTTGACTTTGTCACTCAAATTGTACAAATATGGTTGTGTGGCTTTTAAAAGGCAACGTGACGTGTGGGATGGGCTGCCAATTTTGAAACTTATGAGAAGCTGGTGCAGCATTTATGTATGTAGGGAACACTCGGCAGATTGATCCATCAGAGAAGACAAAATAATGGTGTCATTCGGACAAACTTAGGCAATTGATCCGGCAACAAGTCTTTCAGTCATTTGCCAAGTTGGTCCCTTCAACCTTGTTTGTTATGGAAGATTGTCTTGGCATGAACTATTCTTAGAAATTGTCTTGACTTGAATTGGATTAAGTTGAATAACACTTAACCGATGTTTGGTGACGCTTGGATTGGGACTAAATTTAAATTGATTAAATATCAATAAATAGGATGATATATTTCAACTTATGTTCTTCTATACAAATGTGGGTTAAAAATATTCCAAAGTTTTATTTAATAAGGTTTATACGGGTTTTAAACTTGAGGGCATTTGTGTCTATTTAAGTAAATTTTTTGCTATATTTGAAATATTTTACAAAAACTGACATTTTTAAAGTGAAGCATCAAGTTTTGGCTATTTTTAATAAATTTTCTCTCAGTTTCTAGTAATCATAAATCTGCTGCAGATTTTGACAGCTCTTCATGATAGATGCTGCTGCCTTCAGATTGTCGCTTATATCAATTCTTTTTTTACACTCCTTTTCTTTTCTTTTTTTGGTCAACTTTTACACTCCTTTTCTTTACATGAAATTCTAGTGCAAACTCTAGAATCTCTATCTCTCTCTCTCTCTCTCTCTCTCTCTCTCTCTCTCTCTCTCTCTTTCTCCTTTCCTTTATATGGTCATAATTAAATATGTTGTTTCAGCACGATGTAGGGCTTCTCTATAGAGCTTCTAAAACATAAACTGCAAATAACTGCGCTATGGGTTCTTCAGTAGGTAATGTAAATAATCGTGCCAATTATTTTTAAAAAAAAATAAAATTAGTAAAATGAATTTAATTATTTGGAAAAAGGAAATCGCCAAAGAGAAAACAACATAAGCAACTCTGCATGCCGACTTGCTTTGTTGTGACCCCCTAAATTGAGGATCATGAATCATGATACATGGTAGGCGACAGCAAAGAGAAGCAAGTCGTAAGCTTGTTTGCTCGTCAACTTCAAAGTCAACCTGCTTTATGGACGGAGCTTGTGAGTTGTGGCACTTCCTATTCCTACATACATGATACATGCCCTTAGAAGGAGGAAATTAAAATTTTATTATTTTTAAAAAAAAGTTGATGAGCTTTTCTCCACTATGTACATTAAAAAGTTTCACCAAAAGGGAATAACATATAAAAATAAAATAAAATAAGTGAAACTTTGCTTTCATGCCAAGGGTTTATAAATAATAATAAAGCCTACATATCCTAAGCCTTCCTAACACATTTTCCAACTGCGATGCTCCCAACCACTTCCCATTGTTCATTTCTTTGGCTTGGAAACAATGGAATTTTGGAAGGAAAAAAAAAGAAATATTTCCAAGAATAATTACATTCTTTTAAAAATACGCTTAAGATTAGTCCAAGTGACGAGGAATGGTCGAGTATTGGTCAGGATTAGGATGTGCAGGTTCGAATTCCTTTGTATTATTTGAGGCTAAATTTTGATTAAAAATGCGAGACAGGGTTCAAGTAATGATGAAGAAGATCAGCCACATTCATGAAATGTATATATCGTTGGGTCCATATTTCTCTTCTGCCATAACCAAAGCATGCGACGGGAATGTGATTTGTCTGGTAGTACCCTGGACCATTGATCAACAGTGTCATCTTACAAAGCCAACTCGTTGCTTAAAATCCGTTGACCATGACCAATCCATGATAATTGCTCTTTTATTTTTCACCGTGGAAATCTGAGAGATAATGCAGTCGCACTTCGCATTCTGCATATTTTTTTGTATCTCGTATCATCGTCATGTGATGTTACTGTAATTTATTAATATTACTCTTCCGTTCATTCATATTATAACACATGGAGAGACAAAACTATCAACCGACTCCCTCTTTAGACTAAAAAATATAAAGGTGAAAATGAGAAGTAAATGCCAAGTTATAAAGAATGTCCGTGACTGAAGGGCCTGACCATTTTAGTCTGTGGTCACTGGGTGACCTGCTGAAAATCAGTCTTTAGAAATGGCACGCACTGCTAGGTGTGTCTAGGCTTTTACAATTGAGTTAGAGAAGAGAAAGCAGGCCCTGTTAGAAGCAATTACTTGTTCTGAAGCTATGATGGGGAACATGTGTAGCCTTGTGGACCTGCCTTCTGAGAAATATAAATATATATGAAAAGTAAATGAAAACATTAGAAAAGTGAAAACAATATGATTATTATAAGAAAACCCTTTTTCACAAAAAGGTCAAAGAGAACAAATTCATCTCCAGATAAATACATAAAGAAAATGTTTAAGAGCTCTTGCTAATTAAATCTCCACTCAAACTTTTTAAAATTTCTGTATCCATCCAACACAGCTTGATTACAGATGATCATGTTGCGGGTGTAAATTTTTAAAAAGATTTGCCAGTCAAAACCTATATGCAGGGTTTTGTTTTCTAATAGTAAACAGTCAGTCTATCAATTTCCAGATCTTCTATGAATTAGAAAACTAGATATGGGATTGTACTTGGAGATCAAGAAAAGTTAATCAATCAAGCCATTTTTGGGAAAACCAAAAAGGAACTGCAAAGCTCAACTGCCAATACCCCTCATGAATCATGATGATGCTGTCAAAGAAAGACTTATACTAATATCAGGAATATGCAGAAGTGAAATTAGATAAATAAAAATAGATGCCATTTCCACGCAATTTCTGAGATGGAAAGTAATCTTTGTAAAAGCCACTTTCCACGGATCATGTTCAAATTTGTTACTTTGTTGAAAGGAAGCATACAACAGAAACAACAAAACTGAAATTTCTGAGAATTAATACAGAGCTCTAATAAAGCAACCCTTGTGCTGCTGACTCAGCCAGCCCAAATAGGCACACACCAGACTCACTATAGTCATTGTGTCTCTCATCCATCTCTTTCAACACCATTTTCAGGCCTGCAAGCAAAAAGCTAGAATGGTAATGATAGTTAAAAACAAGGTATGCCATTTATACAGTGCCCTACACTCTCCCCCTCCAAGCCCTCCACTGAGCAACATTTAAGCAAGGCTCTCTTTCTCTCCAAGTGCCTTGTCTAGTTGTATTCATCTTCCCCTCCTCACTTCTGAAACCATGTATTCTTCTCAAACATGGAAGACCATGGCAATGGCTGCAGTAGTTGTGCTTCAGCTCTGGTTTTCCATGGAGGTTAAGTCTTCTTCTTCTTCTCATCATCCTGATCACAACATAACTAGGCTTCCAGGCCAACCCCATGTGGGCTTTCAACATTTCTCAGGTTATATTACTGTGGATGATCAGAAGCATAAAGCTCTATTTTACTACTTTGTTGAAGCAGAAATAAATCCAGCTTCAAAGCCTTTGGTCCTCTGGTTGAATGGAGGTCTGTTAACTCCCCTTACTTGCTTCAATATAAATCAAATAGATATATTTATGTGGGAAATGTAGGAAAGAACTGAGAAGCATCATTAATTGATGTGTAATTTTCTGATTCGTGTAGGACCTGGTTGTTCTTCTCTTGGAGTAGGGGCATTTTCTGAAAATGGACCTTTTAGACCAGATGGTGAGGTCCTGGTTAGGAATGAGTACAGCTGGAACAGAGGTAATGCCATAAATATAATAGCTGTGGCCACTGGCCAGCCAAAAAAGAAAAAGAAAATAGTTGCTGCATGATTTGGCAATTAATTTTTTTCATTTTCATTTGATATTGCAGAGGCAAATATGTTGTATTTAGAGACACCAGTTGGAGTGGGGTTCTCTTATTCTAAATCAAGCTCCTCCTATGTGGCAGTGGATGATGAGGCAACAGGTATATATATTTATGTTCTCATCAGTTCCAAATACATGTTCATCCTTTTGTTTCTTGCTTTCTACTTTTCTCCCTTTTGAAAAATTATGGTTTGCCCAGTGGACTACATATTAAAGTTTGCTTAGACTTTTCAAGAAGTGACATTTAAGCAGTGTTTCATTTTTCACACTATAACAGTGTAACTTTTGTTTTGCACTTCCAGTCACCAGTATTAACAAGCACTTTTGAATCTCTCTTTTTTGTTCCTAAATTCTGAATTTAGAACTTATGGAATATTTCAATTTTGTGTCTGCATTTGTTTTCTTAAGCAAGGGACAATCTTGTATTCTTGCAACGCTGGTTCAACAAGTTCCCCCAGTACAAGCACAGGGATCTGTTTCTAACAGGAGAAAGTTATGCAGGTACCTTTGTAAATATAAGTTGACTTGTTGAGAAATGCTTTTTAATTTCCTGTTTCATCCTTTTTTCTTATTATCATTTTGTTGCTGCTTATTATTAATTCCAGGTCACTACATTCCACAACTTGCAAATCTTATGGTTGAAATTAACAGAAAGGAAAAGTTGTTCAGTCTAAAAGGAATTGCTGTGAGTAGAACTTTAATAAAGTTTCAATTTTGACTGACTAAAAAAACATAAAAGGAAAATATTTTATATGTATTCTCTCTCACTGCAGCTGGGAAATCCTGTTCTAGAATTTTCCACTGACTTCAACTCAAGAGCTGAGTTCTTCTGGTCTCATGGACTAATATCAGATTCAACATATAACATGTTCACTTCTGTTTGTAACTATTCACGATATGTGAGTGAGTACTATAGAGACTCAGTTTCACCTTCTTGTTCAAAAGTTATGAGCCAAGTGAGCAAAGAAACCAGTAAATTTGTGGACAAGTATGATGTTACACTTGATGTCTGCATTTCATCTGTCCTCTCACAATCAAAGGTTATAATCCCCAATGTAAGTAAGCCTTCTCTTCCTTTTAACTTATGGTATGCCTTTTTCTTTTTTTGGTGTTACATATCTGAACTCTTCATATTATGTGACAGCAAATGACTGAGAGGATAGATGTATGTGTTGAAGACAAAATTGTGAATTATTTGAACCGGAAAGACGTGCAAAAGGCTCTACATGCTAGGCTTGTTGGAGTTCGCAGATGGGATGTTTGCAGCAAGTAATTCTTTTCTTTCTGGAGATTAAATACATATGAAGCAATGCTTGTTTAGAAACAATAAGAACCAACTTATCAAAACTGATATGTGGTTCTGTTATATAAAATTTATAAAATATACAATCTTTTCAGTTACTAACTGAAATTTCATGTTGATACTAGCATTTTGGACTATCAAGTGCTCAACATGGAAATACCTACAATCTCATTAGTTGGATCACTTGTCAAGGCCGGAATCCCGGTGTTAGTTTACAGGTACTTGTAACTGGAAATACACTTCTTGCATGGTCTTAATCAAATTATTATTCTTGAATGATATATAGATACTTGTAACTGGTATAAAAGTGAAACTCATAAAATTTCTCAATTCAGTGGAGATCAGGATTCCGTAATTCCGTTGACGGGAAGCCGCACCTTGGTCTATAGATTAGCAAGGGAGTTGGGATTGAAAACCACTGTCCCTTACAGAGTTTGGTTCGAGGGAAAGCAGGTACATTGCAATGCTTATGATTATGCATTGCGCATTCATTTCATACCTTTATCTTTAAATTTCTGATCAGCCTGTTCTTTTCCTTTCTTTTTTTCTCATTCTAAGATTTTATTTGTGATGAGTTTGTCTGCCATCGGATGGAGTGATATAAACTTAAATCTGGTTTCATATGATTTCTATTGGTTCTGTCCAGGTTGGTGGGTGGACCCAAGTGTATGGTAACATTCTTTCATTTGCCACCATCAGAGGTGCCTCTCATGAAGCTCCTTTCTCACAGCCTGAGAGATCACTCAGGCTTTTCAAGTCATTTCTGGAAGGCAGGCCTCTGCCTGAAGTTTTCTGATACATTGTTTAGGTCCATAGTGATTGAGTTTGCAAGTAAATCTGCTGTGCCATACATGGCTGCTGAAGAGTTTCTTTCAATTTGCAAAAAGAAAAAGAGGGAGTTGTGTGTGTGTGTGTGCGTGTTTTGTTTTCTGGCTTTTGTAAATGTAAATGACTCTTTGGGTTGGAAATTTTTTGTAAAGTTCAAAGGCTTCTTGTTTCTTCAATTGATTTGATTGAATCATTAGATTGATTTCACAAAAACTCTTTTAATACATGCAAGCTCTAATCACTGCCATACAGACAATTATCAACATGTCTTACTGGTAGAGATGTTTGATTAACATTAATCATCTGTCCAAACTTGTTTATTGGGTAACCATTTTTCTTTCTTCTTGCTTGGTCCCAAGACCACCCCACCACTTCAATGACAAGTTTTCCTCAGAAAATTAAACTCATTTCCTTTTCAATTAGTGCTTCCCAAAAAGAAAAGACCCGTTGGAGATCTAGACAAACAAAGTACACATAATAATTAAATTATCAAACAATCAGTGGATCTCTTCAGGAAAAAAAATATATATAATATCAGTGGGTCTCAAGCGTTATACAATTATTATATACTTATATAAACACATAGTCTGATTAAACAAAAGAAAGCCAAAGCAAAAGAGAGTGATTCTCATCATCATCATCATAGCTTGAATTGAAGCAACAACAACAACAACCAATTCCCAAAGCCCCATCTTACAGTTTCAGACCAAAAACCAGCAACCTCCATTTCATAACAAGTTTTAAGCCAAAAAAAAGACCACCATTTGCCTACCTACCCCAGTGGTGGAGCCACAGTGGGGTCATTGGGGTCGCACGACCTCTTGGAAGCCATGGAAATAGGCTTAGAGGTCCATTGGAGCTGCTGGTGCTACCTCTTGGAGCTGCACACCAAGTACGAAATATCTGAAAAAACGATGGGTTGCAAGCTGAAGAAGAAGGCTAGCGCGCGCCAGTTTTGTTTTTAAAACGACCTGGCCAAAACGACGTCGTTTTGAGCCAGGTTTGAAAAACTAATAACAAGACCAGCATATCCTCTCCAACCACTGCTTCTCCACAACACAACTTGACGGAAGCCATCCTTAACCCAAAGTTCAAATGTATTCTGCATATTCTTGGCCACACAGAAGACTTTGCTCTTTAGCCTGTGGCAGAATCTGTCCTTATTTCCATTTTCAACATTTAAGTAAATGTTTTTGTCCTTTTATTTTTATTTATTTTTATATTACTCCATTTACTTAAGTTTACAATGTAAATAAGGAAGTACCCCAATTTGGATTCAAATAAAAATACTAGAAAATCAAATTCTCACCAAATCAAAATATGAAAATTCAGTTTTAGTGCAAAATACGATTTAGTCTAAAAATTATGGCTCATTAAGTCAATATATACTTCATACTAAAATCTCATAAAATCAAGTTTTCTTATTTGATATGTAAGAAATAAAAGCCGCCAAAAATTATCTTGAGAAAATGATTATTCCAAAAAACCATTTTTCATACTTAGTCAATATTGCACCTCCGCTAAAAAATTTATGGGTCCGCCAGTGCCTGTGAGACACTATAATTGAAGTCAAAGCAAAATAGCAAATTGCTATCTATTGGCCTCTGGACCATCACAAAGCATTCTTGCCCCCCGTAATAACAAAGTTTACATTTTAATATCTATCCGAAGCTGCAACTTTTGCCACTCTTGCACCTCAGCCTGTGCATGCCATTTTAATTTTTTTATAAGAAAAATTAAAACTTAGGCAGCAGTTTAATTAAGGGATTTAGGGTAACTACATAATCTCCTCTCTCCTCTCTCCTCTCTCCTCTCTCCTCTCTCCTCCCTCCCTTTTCTATGTGATCTCTAATAAAATGATGTCTCAAGTTTATGTGTTTAGTGCGTAAGTGAAGTATGAGATTCTTAGAGATGTTTATTCCACTAATTTCCAGTAACAATGTGATTTTTTTATTTTTTATTTTTTATTTTTTGCATATGTAGAATATATATGTTGATTCCATCCTAAATTATTTTTTGGGATTTTTACACTAAGACTCCTTGTGTTTCGATTCGTAGCTCCGCCCACAACTATATCTCTACACCGTATAGTTTTCAGTTTTCAGAAGAGAAAAACTGAATAGGCGCCAACTTCCAACTATCTCGCACTTTCTTTGTTCCTTAAAAAAATGAACTGCTTTTTATATTTTTGAGTTTATATACTTAGCCTGTACAGTTTTCTCTCTCTCCCTCCAACTGGCTTCAAGGACAGACAGAGAGTGGTACCCTCCGATTATTTTTATTTTTCTAAAGAAACCCCAACATCCCAAAAATAAACATTATGGCAAAAGAGCAAAGCCAGGAGCCTGCCATCATCAACCCTCTGCAGGTCCAGGTATTGTCCTCCGTTCCCTTTAATTGTTTTTCTTTTTTGTTCAAACCCAAATAATTAAAATCTCGTGCATTTTTCATCTTTTGGGATCTGGGTTTTCTTTGCATTACATAAATTAAGCTGCTTTTATTGACTTTTTAACAAGTGAAACAGATTGGGGTATCTGATTTCATATTGTTGTTTATATGTTGAAATCGCAGGATAAAGGGGAAGACAAGGAGTTGGACCCTGGATCTGACGAGCCTGAGGCCCCTTTGCCTCTCACAGTCACTTCCCGGGTTAGTAACTTTTATATGATATTGATTCTTTCTTTAAAACCAGAAAGAGGAAAGAACAAACGGGCATTATGATTTTGTATAGTTAGGTTCCTTGGAATGCGGGTGTCTTGTATTAATTTTCCACAGAAAGACAGATAGTGACTGTATTTTTTAAGACAAACAAAGATGAAACTAAACATGGATAGGGTGTATTGGCAATGCAGGTCTTGTATATGTTGGGTGACATTGCCGCAGGGCCTGCGTATAGAATCACGCAATGGCTGGAATTGGTTCGTAAGCGGAGTTCCCGATATCATTCCTCTGGCTTCCCCCACAGCCTTCCGAGGTTTAACAGTATGCCTTTTAGGTTTGTTTCAACTTTTTGTTATCTTCTTTTTATGTGCATTGAAATGTGGTTAAATCTCTGTAAGAGGAAATTTTCGATGTTGCATTGTAGTCATCATGGTTGCTATTCAGTGCAGGAGAATCTGTTGGTGACTGGGCAGATCATCTGCCTACCGAGCAAAGCACAGAAGTCAATCTCTGGGAAAGACTTGGTAAAGCTGCTACATTGGACATTGAGTCAAGTTCTTTCTCCTGGGATAGGCTTTCTTCGCTTCATCACACTGAACATAGTAGTAGCAATGACAATTCTGAGGATGAAATGAATAAAGCACTTGAGGTGTGCAATCTCCTTTAACTACAGTACGTGGAATATCATGCAAAGAAGAAATACATGCATCATTGATTATATTCTTATCTGCTGCCTCGTCATCTCTTCAGTTGTGTGCATATAGGTCACTGTGAATTCGGGGGGAGTTGTCTTCTTTGCCCTATTCAACCAGCCAGGGATTGAAGATGCTTTTCCTAAGGAAGCAGTAGCTGTTATAAAGATATCTTCGTCAAGGATGGCCACACAATCTGAACGTCTTGGTTATGAATTTGCAAAGTGCCTTGGAGTTCGAATTCCACAGGTTGTAACTTGTCACTCCTGAGATCATATTATACCTAGTCCTGTTCGTTAGGCTTTCTAGCGCTTGATGTGGAGTCATTTTCCGCTCTTGCCAACACCATAATATGTATATTTTGTCTGTTGGGTATTGCAGGCCAGAGTCATTCATAATTGTAGCTCGGAGTGGCTCCAGATGAAGGAAGCTGCAGAGAAGGCAAGAGATGTAGCAAGTTCAGAAGGGGATGAATGTGGCGAAATGACATGTTCAGAACTTTTGGAAGCTCTTGAACTTAGCCGATGCCTTTTGCTTATGAGGTCTAACTACAATCTTAGTGTTTCTATTTTTTAATGTAAATGAGTTAATCCTGCAGCATAAAATATACGGGCTTCATTCGCCATCTAGTGCCTAATTTTTTTATGGTGTAGGGATAGACTAGTCAATTAACGTATCATCTTTTATATGTTATTCTACTATTTCGGCCTGCATAAATGATAAGGGTATTTTGCTGGAGCTTATTTGCCTTATCCACTATTGTTGAGAAGTACATGGTCATTTGACTCAGAATTTCTGTAGGTTCACCTACATGCACATGACTAGTTAGAGCATGTAAAGAAGTTTCTATTGATTGCTGGTCATTACACATGAAGTTAAAATGTTACCCTGATATTCTAGAACATGTTCAATGGCCCCTTCCACAATACTCATAATAGCAAATTAATGAGCATGATGTTCCGTCATGTGCAGCACTAGAAAATGCTTCCCAGTAGATACTGAATCTTTTATATGGTGTTACTGAAACCAAAACTTTTATCTTTGCAGCTATGTTCATGGATCTCCTTTACTTGAAAGCTCAAATGTATTTGAGTCAAAGGAAACTGCAGAAAAAACAGCAGCTGCTCTTGGTAGGATCCTGATGTTGGATCTTGTCATCAGAAATGAAGATAGGCTTCCTTGCCGTCAGCTCAGATGGCGTGGAAATTCTGCAAATCTATTGTTGGCTGACAAAACGACTTTTGCAAACATGGACAGATTGGAGGAAGCCTTCGATTCTGCAGTCAAGCTATACAAACCAAGAGTGATCAGAGGTCTTCATAAGGATAGAAGGGCAACTTCAGTAGATAGCAAACTGAGTGCCCATAATTCAGGACTGGTATCACAGACCTCTGATCTTTCAGATATTATAGAGTCACCAAGATCCATAAAAAGTCAACTATCAGATGATTCAATTATATCTGATTTTCCAATTGTGGCTATTGACTCTGGTGTTCCCCGTCGGCCTCCTGCTGGAAAACGTGCAAATGACCAGGAAATTTATCCTAAGCTGGTTGAGTTACTACTCAATAGTTCCGAGTACTCCTCGAATGTGTTACATGACATAACATTAGGGAAACTAGGACGTCCTCCTTTACAAGACATTGATGCATCTGATACACGAGCAGTTTATGAAAGGACTTCAGTTGTTCAAGAGTTCCGTAATGGATTCCGAGCTGCTCTTAGGGATCTACAAGGCTTCCATATATTCTTACTCACACTTCACCAAAAACTGGAGAACTTGCTACGAATATTTTTTAATATTATAGATAAAATATCTTCAGGGGAGTCTGACAAAGAGGATTTGGCAGTTCCTGAGTCGCCCTTACTTGCTTCTGGAAGTGTTAATTTCCCTTTTTCACCAGGCAAGGACCGGCTTATCAATGAGAACCATCCAGATAGTGATTCTGAATTGCAGAGAACTGCTCCAAGGTCTTCATATTCGGGAAATAAAGAAAGCTCCGACTTGAGCTCTCCCATGTCACGGGATAGTTGGTATGGGAGGTTCTCTAAAGGGAGTGCAGAGCCCCTCCGTAGTCTGCGTTTGACAGCAAAGCTCCGGGACTTCCATAAATATGCCAAGGTTGGAAATTTACTTAAACAAAAACTGTGTTATACTGCAGATGATGAAACAGAAAGTCCTTTTTTTAATACATAATTCTTCTTAAACTTTAACATTACAATGCTCAGGTCGATGCGGAATCAAACAAAGAATTGGAACAGTGGAATGAAATGTTAAAGAGCGATGCTATCAAACTCTGCCAGGAGAACAATTTTAATGCTGGGTTTTTTGAGGGTAGTGACAACAACGGTGTTGTTGATGCTTATGAATTGAAGGTAATCTTTGCATTCCACTCTGTGTGTGTGTGTGTGTGTGTGTGTGTGTGTGTCTCCTTTCCTTTTCTCTTCCTTTAACCATCATTGTATCTACAAATAACAGGTCAGACTTGAGCACATACTTGAGAGGATTGCATTGATATCTGGGGCTGCAAACACAGAGAGGCCATCTCCAATCACAAGTTGCCTGTTCATCGGCGGGGCCCTGGCTGCACGATCTGTATTCACCCTGCAACGCTTAGGAATTACTCATATATTGTGTTTGTGTTCCAATGAAATTGGACAATCAGATTCACAGTTTCCTGATCTGTTTGAGTACAAAAACTTTTCTGTGAGTTTTCTTTCTCATATGTGAACATATTTCATCTATGTTCTTAATGCACGCATCTCCAACCATCTCCATTAAGATGAAAGTCTTTGTTGAACATGGATCCCCAACTCTCCAAGTATTGTTTTCGTCATATTTTTTGCACCTGCATTGTCCTGATTAAACTACCTATTCCCTTTGAACAGATATGCGACAATGACGATTCAAACATCAGCGGCATCTTTGATGAAGCCATCAGTTTTATTGATCATGTTGAACAAATAGGAGGGAAGGTTCTGGTCCATTGCTTCGAGGGGAGAAGCAGAAGTGCCACGCTGGTGCTTGCATACCTAATGCTCAGAAAGTAAGTAAAATCCACAACCTCTGGCATCAGCCAACCTTGGATATTCTTTTTCTTCTGTGAAATGTGATTTCAACAAGATTACTTTAGGAAATATTTTGGTAACTAATCTTTCTATGGTGCAGGAACCGCACTCTATTAGAAGCATGGAATTCTCTAAAACAAGTTCATCGCCGTGCGCAACCCAATGATGGTTTTGCAAAAGTCCTATTGGATCTGGATAAGAAACTTCATGGGAAAGTTTCCATGGAATGGCAACAGCGGAAGCCAACGATGAAAGTTTGCCCTATCTGTGGGGTGAATGCAGGTCTGAGTAGCAGCTCACTTAAGCTTCATTTGCAGAAATCACACAAGAAACTATCATCAGGTAGTGTGGATAGTGCAATGACAATGGAAATACAAAAGGCTTTGACTGCATTAAAAATGAATCGAGGTGGAAGCGTCAGCCCTAAACAGAGGCATTCTCATTCAGATGTGGAAGATTAGAGATTTCCAAGCTGCTTTTTTATTTCTATAAGGTGGACTAATAGTTTCATAATGTGGTCGATCAATCTTGTAGATATATAGAGAGATTGTAGAAGTGTCTTGTAATCAAGGAATTGTGCGGTGGGTTTTTGCACATCCGGGCTTCAAGTTTAAATGTATCATAAATAGATTCTCAGAATTTAGAGATATAAAGTTAATTTGCCATGCCCTTTTTTTCATGCGTGCATAAATTAACATCAGCAATTCTCCTTTAACTCAAAAATGACTTCGTTAATAACTGATGTTAAACATAGAGCTACTATATGACTAATGAACAGCATAGAACTTGAGAACAACCCAAGGATAAAATTAGAGAGTTAAACAACATGAATGTGTTAAAATTCTTTATTAGAAATACTAGCATTCCCAACACTAATTCCACCACAGGAGGGGTCTAAAAGAAAAAAGTACTAACCCTACCATTTGTGACTGAACTATGCATGCTATTCTTCTGTATAAACTGGTACAGCCTTGAACAGTCAAGTCAACCATTAAACAAACAGCTTTCAATTACCGCTACCAATTAGTCCTTTTTGGAGTAAACAGACTGTTCAATTGCAAAGCGCAAATGAAAAAAATACAAACATATTGGCAAAAGATTAACAAAAGCGGCTATGTTAACTTTCAAACAGGGATTGCCTCGGGCAAAGACTCAGGAGAACCACTGCTACCATTGAGCACAGTCACATTGCCATCAGAATCAACATCCACGATAACCGAGTCGCCTTCTTTGATCTCCCTTGCAAGCATCTTCTCAGCCATGCTGTCCTCCAAAAGTCTCATTATGGCTCTTCTTAGAGGCCTTGCTCCATAACTTGGGTTGTATCCTTCGTCAACCACTCTATCTCTAAACCTCTCTGTCACTTGAAGCTCTATCTCTTTAACCCTCAACCTCTCAAAAACCTCCTTCAGCATTATATCTGCTATTTCCTTTACCTCCAGCTTAGTGAGTTGTCGGAAGACAATCATTTCATCCAACCTATTCAAGAACTCTGGTCTAAAGTACTGTTTTAGTTCCTCAGTCACCAAGCTCTTAATTCTATTGTAACTGCTATCCTTCTCATCGTAATCAAGGTCAAATCCTATACGACGGCCTCCTTTCTCAATTACACTGCTTCCAACATTAGACGTCATTATCAGAAGTGTATTCTTGAAATCCACAGTTCTGCCCTTGCTGTCAGTCAATCTTCCATCCTCAAGTATTTGAAGCATCATGTTGAAGACATCGGGATGAGCCTTCTCAATCTCATCAAAAAGCACCACAGTGTAAGGACGTCGTCGAACGGCTTCAGTCAGCTGACCTCCCTCAGTGTAACCAACATAACCTGGGGGAGAACCAATGAGCTTGGAAACAGTGTGCCTTTCCATGAACTCACTCATATCAAGCCGAATCATGGCTTCTTCAGAACCAAAGTAGTAAGCCGCCAAAGCTTTTGCGAGCTCAGATTTCCCAACACCAGTTGGACCAGAAAAGATGAAACTGGCGATAGGACGATTAGGATTCTTCAGTCCAACACGAGCACGGCGAATAGCACGACTAATAGCCTTGACTGCTTCATCCTGACCAATGACTCGCTTATGGAGGGTCTCTTCCATCTTGAGGAGGCGGTCCGATTCATCAGTTGACACCTTCTCCACTGGAATGCCAGTCCACGAGGACACAATATGTTGAATATCCACTTCAGTCACGAGAGGACCTACATCTCCTGCCTCACTCTCTGCCTTACTCATCTCCTTGCCTTTATCAACAACAGCTGAGATCTGTGCCGAAAGGTCCTTTTCTCTGTCACGTAATTCCCCAGCCTGTCCAAAATTTTCTGTTGTCAGCTTAATTGATGAAAGCTTTCATACTAACATAAGACATTATTTGACAGTCTACTCATTAAGTCTGATATCAATTTCACTCTAGAAAGCACTTGAAATTTTATAAATATTTCTAGCAGCAACTTCTATTGACAACCCTAACATTTGATTTGGTTGTTTAGAAATCTAGCATGCATACCAATGCAAAGCGCTTCAGCAACAGAACTGTGTACCTTTTCAAAGTCTTGGCTTCTAACAGCCTCATCCTTCTCCTTAGTGATCAGCCTCCGTTCTTTCTCAAGCTCTCTAGCTTCTTCAGGTAGCTGCATAGAACATACAGTATTCCCCAGTCAACACCAGCAATCCCAGGGATTAAAAAGACAAGTGGCTATCCAAACCAGAAAGTGAGGTCATACCTGTGCATGACGAAGACGAACTCGAGAACCAGCTTCATCAATCAAGTCAATTGCTTTATCAGGCAGAAAGCGATCACTGAAGTATACACAACCATCAACGAGAACAAAATTATTCAATTATAACACATAGGGAAACATAAAGGTCGCCAGCACCATTACAAAAACAAAAACAAAAAAGTAAAAAATAAATAATTTCCATAAATGGACATCAGCCATTATCCAGAGGAAGGCAAGCAATAACCAAAGGACATTTTCATTCATCAAAACACTACCAACATTTAACCATTTTGAATAAACATCAGCAGCATCCATCCAGCATTACATTGCACGCAGAAGTAGGGATGCCTACCTGATATACTGGTATGATAGCTGTGCAGCAGATACCAGGGCTTCATCAGTGTAGCGGAGCTTGTGGTGAATCTCGTATCGCTCTCGAAGTCCTCTCAAAATCTGAATGGTTTCATCCACAGTTGGTTCAGGAACTTTGACTGGTTGGAAACGCCTTTCCAAGGCTGGATCTTTCTCTATGTGCTTTCTGTATTCATCGAGAGTTGTGGCACCAATGCACTACACCAATAAAAATTAAACTAACTATTTGGATCCAAATGTAAACAGCAGTAAGCTATTCTAATGTGGCTCCACATATATAATATTTTATATTTACAATAGCGAAGCCAAATTGATTTAAGTTTATAACAAAAATAGAAACAAAGGTTATATTCTTTCTATCACTTTTTCAAAATTACCTGCAGTTCACCTCTTGCAAGAGCTGGTTTTAATATATTTGCGGCATCAATTGCCCCTTCTGCTGCTCCCGCTCCAATTAAAGTGTGCACCTCATCAATAAACAAAATTATCTCGTCACTTTGTTTAATTTCCTCCATGAGCTTCTTTAATCTTTCCTCAAACTCTCCACGGTACTTTGTACCAGCAACAAGAAGACCCATATCCAGTGTTATAACCTAAAGAGTGGCAAGGTGGGGAAAAGGTCAAATGTATTATTGCATTGTTTTCCAAAACGTAACTAGAGGCATTGAAATAGAGGAAACTTTCCAAACAAGGCAATCATATTAAGCCTGGATGTTATGCACACACATAATGTTACATATAATATTGCTGAAAATTACAAATAAACTCCCACGCACCTTCTTTCCCTCTATGGTTTCAGGAACATCACCAGTTGCAATCCGTTGAGCAAGGCCTTCTGCAATTGCAGTCTTCCCAACACCAGGTTCTCCAATAAGGCAGGGATTATTCTTAGTCCGCCTACCCAAAATTTGCACAACACGTTCGATTTGTGGTTGTCTTCCAACAACGGGATCCAACTTACCCTGGGAATTGAAGAAAAAATATCTTAAAAACAGGCCTTCAAACAAAGAAAAAAAAAATCGGAGCACATGCTACTACATAACATAAGGGATATCGGAAAGTTCAAACTTACCTCCTCTGCTAGCTTAGTTAAATTGGTCCCATATTCTTCTAGAGTCGGCATCTTATTACCACTGCTTCCTCCTCCAACACCGGCACCAACAGCCTCTGTGCTCTCACCCACCATACGGATAACCTGCCCACACCAACAAAGTTTTTCATGGTTACTTTCTGATGATGAATTTATTCAAGAAGAATAACCAAAGAAGGATGATATGCTTGCCTGTGTGCGAATGTTACTAGGGTCAGCACCTAAATTCTCAAGAACTCGAGCTGCTACACCCTCACCCTCCCGAAGTAAGCCCAGAAGCAAGTGCTCGGATCCAATATAGTTATGGCCTGAAATTTATCATTTATTGTTCCTTTAGTTAACACAAAAATGAATGTAAACCATTACAGAGAAGTAAACACTTATCAATTTGCATAGAGATCAAAAAGGGTGACCAAGAAACAGGGAATACATAGGAAAGAAAGAAAAGAGCCTAAATGCACAATGAATTCAAAAGGGGTTGCATGGATTCATCCAGTCAACCAAGTCCATGCTACTAATTTTCAAATGTATTCATATCTTGCAATGTTTCTTTCAATAACACTACATTTGTCTTCAATTTCATGCATGGACCCTTTAAATATTGGTTAACTCCACAAGGATATTAATGTTTAATACCGAACAGTCCATATACATTGCTACATCTACTAAGGTATACACGTCAGAGTTACCCCACAAACCCAGTACATAAAAATAAGATGCCTTTCAATGGGAAAATAGATGTTTCTTATTAGATGTTCTCAAGGCATTTAGAGAACAAGAGAAGGAGAAAGAAAGTTACCAAGTTGGCGAGCTTCCTCCAGTGACAGCTCCAACACTCGCTTCGCACGAGGAGTGAATGGAATTTCAACAGCAACAAATCCACTACCCCTTCCAATTATCTTCTCCACTTCAACACGTGCATCTTTAAGATTAATTCCCATGGACTTAAGAACCTTGGCAGCAATACCAGTTCCTTCACCAATAAGACCCAAAAGTATCTGCTCTGTGCCAACAAAATTGTGACCAAGTCGCCTTGCTTCCTCTTGTGCAAGCATAATTACTTTAATTGCCTTTTCTGTGAAGCGCTCAAACATGGCTTTAGGCACACATCTGCTAGCCTTTCGACGCCGGGAAGTGATTGCAACTCCCATCTTGGAATAAAAGTCTTGCCCAGGTTTCGCCATAATATCTAAAGCATTAACACTACGGAGTCCTGAGAAACTGCTTATTCTCAATCCAGGTGCTCGTAAAGTACAACACATCTTGACTGTCCTTTTGGCATTTCCCGATCCTTTAGATTGACCAAGCCTTCTCCCAGCAACCACACCAGGAATATTAGTTGACTGAACCAGAACTCTAGCCATGATATCAACTTAGCAGTCTGCATTTGGCAACAATCAAACTTAGATTTAGTTGCCAATTCGAATATTCATAGTGATAAAAAATCAAGAAAAAAAAATTCACCAATAACTTAGCAGTTAGTTTCAATACAAATATCATGGTACTCAAATGTATGCATCAATATTCAACCATCAACAAGTGTATGACTCCCATCAACATAGAACATACAATATAAACTTCCTCAATAATAATTGTAAAAATGTGAAATCCTTTCCCACTCTTATCTCTCGCTATCAAGAAAACATAAATTGTGTTTTTTGCCTCCCAAAACCAGCATAGAAGTGATTAAGCAAGCACAAAAATCAATCCAACAACAGTTAGAAGTAGTTATCCAAGAGCTTATATTGGCAAACTACGTAACAGAGAAAAAGTTCAGAAACAAAGCAACCATTAAATATCAAATAAACTACAAGGCCTAAATAAACCACCAAAAACACAGATTAAACCAGACCAACAAAGCTCAAAGACACAACCTTTAACATTAGATACCCAGATTATAGGGAGCAAAGAGTTAAACGCAAGCTCAAAGTCAAAATAACATATCAATTTTATAAACCCAGCAATCACCACAATAACATCAACAAATTCAAAACTTGAGAATCAATAACAAATTCCATTCCATAAAGGTAAGAACAAACGATTAGAAGGGGGAAAACCCAGAATCCAAAAAGGCAGAAGCAAAAGTAAAAACCCTAACTTTTGTACACAGAAGCAACCAAATCAAAAGGGTAACAAATTGAAATGAAAGCTCACCTAAAACCCCTTATTTGGATAAACTTTCAATTAAATAAAATGAAATTTTCAGAAAGAGAGACAGGGTCTTTCTTCAGAGAGAAGAGAGAGACCCTATTCTTAGTATTCTATGGTCGGCCGAAGAGGAAGAGATAGGTGTGGTCTTAAGAGAAGCTCTCTCTCTTTCTCTCTCTTTCTTTCTCGCTCTTTCTCTATAAATCGATAAATCTATCTCTTAGCCTTTTCTCTTCCATATGAGGCTCCATCACCGTTCATGCACCGTCCCGTACATGATAAGCTACACGACACCGCTGCCTACATCAGCGATTGATCAACGGCAATATATTACGACACGTCGTCTAAAGTGTGAGATTATGGCTCCGACTGGACCCACCGGTCTTATCTTGCCCCGGAGATATTTCGCTGGATGACAATTTTACCCTTACTACGCTGCCTCTTCATTCGCCATAAATATTGCGGGTGCATGAATATGTTATATGAATACGTCTCTATTGTAAGTTGTAACACAGCCGTACACGAGAACAATTGTTCAAATGTTCTTCTCTCTTTCTTTCTTTCTCTTTGGGGCAATGTAATTTACACTCCATTTTTTTTTTATGTAATATGGTTTTCTTTAATTTTTTAATATTATGAATTAAGTAGGGAGTTTTACACAAATATTCATTAAGTGTCTAAGAGGTTCGAACCTCTGTCTACATGGACGAAGATGGAAGAGCTCAACCAACTAAGCTTTATACCTCATTGACAATATAATTTTCTTTAATAAACATTCAAAATTGAGATTTTTTTTTTCTTTAAATATAATTTATAGTCTAAATTACTCTAATTAATCTACAAATAAAGGGGGATTTGAACTTGTATGTAAGGGGATGGCCACTGTCCTAACTAATTTCAAACTTGAGACATCTTTTAATTTCGAAGAGAAAAATACCAAATGTCAAGAGTTAGCTGGTGTTAGACAAATCCCGTATTCATGTAGGTTGTGACAAATCAGTATCAAAGTTGCAAGTGTAATGTTTAATTCATTAGAATTACTATAAGTAAATTGAGTATAAAGTTGAAAATGTTTGAAAACTTTATTCTATTCTACGAATTTAAATATAAATAGGGTAAATATTGCAATGGAAAATTAGAAATTTAAATTCAAAAGGGGGAATTTAGGGGGGCCTCTCTTTGACAAAGTCCAATGATTAGGATGGGTTTGATTGTTTGTACATGTAAAAATATCAGGGAGTCCAGTGTTAGGCCTTTTGGGTCGGCAGCCTTTAGTTTTGGCCTTGTTGTCAATCCAATGACCATAATTTTGATTTGTTTTTCTAGTTTATTCTTCTTTTTGTTTTACCAACTTCTCCTTCATGGACAAAATTTCTTCCTTTCTCTTCTTTTGTAGGCTTTTATGGGTGGAGTATTTTGGGCTAATTGGACTTTCGAATCTTCTCCAGCCCAAGATTTAAAAAGGCTTTTTATCGAGGACTTAAATCAATTCATATGATTGAGCAAAGGAGGGTCGGCCCACTTTGTCATTCATGGACTGCCTCAATAGGTTTTCTTACTTCTCTTATGTCAAATTATAGTTCATATAAAATTCATAAATTTATATTCAAACAAAAGTTCATCTAGTCAAGGTTTCAAAGTAATGCTCTTGCTACAACATAACATGTCAGATTGTTTTACAAAAATTAACTATCATGTGAAAGTTTATCTTGGTTTATCCGGATTAGCTTATTTGAGCTTGGGCCTTTGTCAATGGGCTTCAACATTTTCCCGATCCTCAAAGTAGTTGTTCGACACCTTGAAGGAAGGCCAGGCTGGGTGGCTCAGCCCATTTCAACCTTCAGAGCCCAATGTAATACACAACGCGCAAAAGATAAAAAATAGAAAACAAAATAATAAAGGGAACGTCTACAATGAGAAGTTTAGAGTGAGGAGCTTATTTGATGGGTTCAATCCAACCATTAAACCATTTAAAATGTTTAAGTTCATTGATTTCCTCACATTTGTTGATGGTAAGATTGAACCCCTCAAATAAGCTTCTCACTCTAAACTCCTCATTATAGCCTTTTCCGAATAAGATATGGAAGCAACACAATACAACATGTCAATTAACAATCGAAGGAAGGCCGGGATGGGTGGCTCAACCCGTTTCAGCCTTCGAAGCCCCATGTAACACACAACGCGCAAAAGACAAAAAAACATAGAGCAAAAGAATGGAAGCAACACAATACAATCAATTAACAATCTTCAACTTCAACAAAAGTTGATTATTTTTCCATCTTTAAAGGAATAGGACATGGGGCGTCCGTGTAAATGTAATTTTAAGCCAAAGGGTACACAAAAAAGTTGATAATGTTCTGAGTTGTTGTGACGTGATAGTAAAAAAGAACGTTTCCCTTGCAAGTAATAAGAGTGTGGGGTAACCTGAAACTTAAGGGCAGCCTATTATTTTATGCCAATATGACAATATGCCATAGCTCACGGGGATAGTCCATGAATATTAAAGGCAGCTTTCCTTTCCAATTGCCATAGGAGCCAGCCAGCTGAGCTGCAACTTAATTAAAATTCTTGTCGCCCTTTCTTTGCACTTTGGCATCCGCTTACATTTAACATTGATTACACTTTCAATGTGGTCCATATTTCCCACCAGCCCTATGTTTATTTTTATAGATTTAGTGGGTCCCCATGATAAATAAGGTTCCAGTTTCGATACATTTGTATATATGTGTGGTACTCTTTCACTTGGAGCCATAGGAAATGAATTTAGCCTATGCTATGCCATTGCTTCACAAGTATTTGGATCTAAGATTCAAAAATATAGAGCTCGATTGTATGAATTTGAAGTATCAAGTTATAAATTCAAGTTTGGGATTAGGGTTGGAGTTGAAGATGATAATTTGGACAAGTTCAGGTGAATTTCAACAACGTAACTTTCAAATTAAACTCAACCCTGATTTGATCGGATTAGTAATTTCTTAACTCGAGTCGAACATGTTCAAATTGATCCATCCAATCCAAGTTACACCTCTCGATGAGTTTTAAGTAGGAAAATGTAAATGGATGAGATTTTCCTAAACTAATATTCATAACATTTGAGCCATATTGAAAAGAGTTTGGTTTGGTTAGGGCGCACACAGACTAGACCAAGGGGTAAGGGCAAAGAGAGATGAGAGATGGGGGAAGTAACCGTTGAGCAACCACAGATCTTTGAAAAGGAAAAAAGGTGAAAGAGAAAGAGAGGTTTCATTGGGTAGTAGGTGCGGTGAATAGAAAGAGCCTCACGAGATGCTTGGGGTTTCCTTCTATTACATCAATTATCAATATTCAATGTCAATCCATCCCCTCTGAATATTATTCCCTCCCTGTCTCTCTCTGCCCTGCCAGAACTCCCTCCTGGCTACTTTCTCTATATGCAAATCCCATCCCATCTCTCTTTACTATTTACTTTTTGAATCAAACTCCTACACTCCTACTCTTCCTATTTAATTGTGTTTCAACCATAATACTGGAACTTTGTAGAACTTTGTTGTTCAAGGTCAAATAAGGCTGCCTCTTGGGAGTTTTGATTAGTCATTATACTTCAACGACTGTGATCTAATGATAGAATGAGTATGAGACAAGTTGTAAACTTAAACAAACACTTGAGCGGTAAATGAATGAGCATGAGACGAGCAGTAAACTTAAACAAATAGTTGAGCCGCAAAGAATGAGCATGAGACGAGTTGTAAATTTAAAGATACGTCAAACTTTTAAAAGGGTGAAAACAATATTTGAGTGGTAAAAGGATAAGCATGAGTAAAGATATTCGAATTTACCAATATGGATGTAGGTGTCAAAAGGATATTACAAGCAAAAGATGAAAGGAAACAAATAGTTGGTGAAACTGCACCATCTTCATTACCATTTATGATTATACTCAAGACACCCTGCTTTTGGTTATAATAGTTCCCTTGTTGAAGTAGAGGGGAATTACAAGGCAGCACAGTGAAAAAAATGGCTCTGCTTTACCAAATCAGCTTGCAGACACTGCAATTCTCATTCTAATTTTATTTTTTTCAATACTTTTAAAGCACATTTCGTGTAACATGTAGTGTTCATATATACTGGGCCTGTAGCTGCAAACAACACGTTCTTTGCTCATGGCCAAATGAAAAAGAAAAAAGACCCACCCACCCACCCAACAAAAAAAAAAAAAAAAAAAAAAAAAAAAAAAAAAAAAAAAAAATTGAAATTGAAGAAATTTAAAAAGCTTATGATCATGTTGTGAATGAGACAGGTAAGCCACATTGGGACCACTGACCGCACCAGTACACACCTTAAATTATCATCCAATCTATCCTCCAATTGCTCCATAGCAGGACATTGGCTTTTATTGACGCACAAATTTTGAAGTAGAGGGATAGAAACTATCAATATTTTCCTTTAATTGACTACAATAATGCCCTTCCATTACATGCTTTCACTAATTTATGCTTGAAAACAAGATGCTTATAAAACACTAATTGGTATCTCGAATACTTTGAATCCAAAATCGTTTTGACATCTATGTTGATCAGATTTAACATGTATGTCTTATGAACACTTTCGGGATAAGGACCCAAATGAATTCCTACACTCATTACATTATGAACCTCCAAGGGATTTGAAGCACTAACGTTTTAAGAATTAGGGTCTATCGAATCATAAGATGCAATTGGAAGGTATGGTTGGTAAAATCTACTAATGACCTTGGCTTAATACACGTGCAAGGCGTGTGTAACGCATAAGAATTAAAGGTAGAAAAGTATTATGAATTACTTAAGAGATAAGTGATTTGGATGGAAAAAGAAGTACCATTGGGAAGGTTAGTGGAAGATGTAGTCAATATCAAGTTAAGGAAACTACGTTAATAGCCATGACTAGTAGTCCAACGCTCTAATGACATGGCCTTAACCCACATGTAAAGCGTGTGTAACGCAAAAGAGTCAAGTGTACAAAAATATTATAAATTACTTAAAAGCAAGAAATTTAGATGAAACAATAATATATAATAAAAAAACGTATAATTATAAAGTTTAGTGTAAGATGTAGCCAATATAAAGTTTAGGAAACAATGTTAGTAACCATGACAGTTTGAACGCACTAATGACCTAATTTAACACAGATGAAAAGCGTGCGTAATGCATAAGATAATATCATGAATTGAATAAATTAAACACTAAAAAAACTGAAATTACTCAGAAAATGGTTGAAGTGCATGAACATTTCATTTCTTCCAGCAAAAATAAAATATCCTGAAATTTAATACACCCTGAATAAATCTTTTATATTATGAGTGTGTGTTTCAAAGTTTCAAAGTTTCAAATGTGTGACAACAAGGAAGCAACATTCATCTTTGAAAAAAAACAAAAAACAAAAACTGCATTGAAGCACTAAAAACAAAATTTAAATTGGGAACCACCTTTCTCCCTTACACGTGTAAATTACGTTAATCTGTAATTATGGTTCATAATTTTCCTGTAGTATTAGATGCTTGGGAATAGAGGGCTCGTATAAATCTCATATGAACCTCACATTATCCACAACACAAAACCAGCTGAGATTTATTCTGCAAGATTTACAGGAATGCAGAAAAACCATGTTCTCAAATGCAGCAGAGGGTATGAAAAGCGAAGTTCGGTTACTAAACGCAATCATCGTATAAATCCAAATGGTGATAAGGTGGATTAGTCTGTAACGTTTTCAAGGCTAGCGTGTCAAGAAATTGCCATAAAGCTCTGCCCTTTTTCTTCTGCAACGTCCATTTCTTCCTTCCTTAAAAGCTCTTTCTCTCTCTCTCACTCTCGCTTTTCTTAGCTCAGCAGCTCAATTAACCCATTCAGTTTCTGCTGAGTCAGTCACTTTCCTTCAGTTCCCCGAGAAAAAATCCAGAAAAGAGAAAATGCTGCCTAGGCTGAACGGTGCCGTTTGGATGGGTGATAGAGAGGACAGAGACTCTGCTTCATGGAATAGAACCACCGCCGCCACCACCAACAACAGCAATTGTGGTGTTGTGGAGAGCAAGGACGAGTTGGGCTCTCTGTCTACCTTCAAATCCATGCTTGATGTTGATGATGATTGGTATCTGCCCAATAATAGCATTCAGAGCCATTCAGATGTCCGAGACATAGCCTTCTCGCCGAGCTTTGCTGACCCAGAAAGCTTGCTGCTCAACCCAGTGGACTCTTCCTCTTCTTGCTCACCGTCTTCCTCGGTTTTCAACAATCTTGACCCAAATCAGGTTCATTACTATTTGCCTCAAAATTCCACCTTGTCTTCGCTCCTTAATGTTGTTCCTAATAACCCTTTGGAGCATGGCTTCGATTTGGGCTGTGATATTGGGTTTCTTGACACTCAAGCATCGAGTGGTTCAAGTTTAATGAACAGGGGAGGTGGGGTTTTAACTGGGTTCAGTGGTTTGAGCTCAAATAACCAGATGAATGCTCAGGACTTGTGTTCAAATTTGCAATTTTCAACTACCCGTCTGCCTCAATTGCTTGAAAATAGTTCAAATTTTTCGGGCTTTCGGGGTTTTGAGGATACTTCAGCGAATGCTTTGTTTCCCAATAGGCCTAAATTATTGAGACCCCTTGACTCCGTCCCTGATGTGGGAGCACCGCCCACTCTTTTTCAGAAAAGAGTTCAGAAGAACTTAGCTGATAATGGAGGAAATTTGGGTGTTTTAGGCTCAGAAGGGGGCCTGGTTTTGAATCATATGGAAGGGGGTGAGAGGAAGAGGGAAATGGGTGAGGAGAATGAGAGGAAGAGGAAATTGAGCGGGGGAGATGATTTTGAAGATGTGAGTATCGATGGTTCAGGTTTGAACTATGATTCAGATGACTTTACTGAAAACACTAAGATGGATGATGGTGCTAAGAATGGCGGTAATAGCTCAAATGCGAATAGTACTGTTACTGGCGGAGGGGATCATAAGGGGAAGAAGAAAGGGTTGCCTGCTAAGAATTTGATGGCTGAGAGGCGCCGCCGGAAGAAGCTCAATGATAGGCTGTATATGCTTAGATCCGTTGTTCCAAAGATCAGCAAAGTAAGAATTTATTTTACATTACACCATTTTCTCGTGAATTTGAGTATGCACTGATGGTATGTTTTAGGTGATTAGGTCCTCAAGATACATAAGAAATTTGATTTTAGGCTTTTGTTGAAAGAATTGCACCTTTTACCGGGTTCCAAAATGCTTCACTTCAATTGAAGATAGTATCAATTTCTCTCACATGGACTCTGGTAGCATGCCCTTAAATTTTCTACATTTCAAAATACTACCTTCTTGTTCAAAATCAAACAGTTAGTGCAGACTAAAACAATTTTTTTTAAAGGATTTTTGTTTCTTTAACAGGTGAGTTCAAAATTGAATTTCATTTCTCACTACAATTGACATCAAAGTTACAGGAAATATGTAGTTGGAAGTTGGAAAGAAATAACCACCACTCTCAGTTATTGTTTATGCCCAATTGCTTTGAAGTTCATTTAGTGAAGTTATAGTAACTCAAGTAATATTTACTGTTATTTGCTATTTGAATTTTGAAGTGCAATAAGTACTTGTTCAAACTTTTAACCAACTGAAACGAAAGATAAGTCAGTAAGTCACCATTGGGAGGAGCTACAAAAAAGCTCTTAAAGCTTTGTTTTGTGCTTCATGAATATCATATGATTCAAATGACATTCTGTTTTGTGATATCAGATGGACAGGGCATCAATCCTTGGGGATGCAATTGAGTACTTGAAGGAACTTCTGCAGAAGATCAACAACCTCCATAATGAATTGGAGTCAATCCCTCCTGGGTCTTCATTGACGCCTACCGGAAGTACTTTCCACCCTTTGACACCCACTCCGGCTACCCTGCCAAGTCGTATCAAGGAAGAACTTTGCCCCAGCTCATTACCTAGCCCAAACGGCCAACCTGCAAGGGTACGCCCTCTATGCTTGAAAATTGATTTTTGAGTATGTTCAATCCAGTAGTCTACTTTAGATTTTCCTCTTATAATCCTGAAACTTTTCTAGTGAGAAATAAATGATTGATGCATTCTCTTCTTTAACTTCAAGTGATTTTACTTTTTTCTAAAAAGCAAAAGGAAGTTATTCACTTTGTTAGTTTAGATCTTTATTTATCCTAGAACCTTTGTGCCACTGTCTTAGCAAATGTTTCACTATAGTGTTCTGATGGTGATGATTATGCATAGGTTGAAGTTAGGCTACGAGAAGGAAGAGCAGTGAATATCCACATGTTTTGTGGGCGCAGACCTGGTCTCTTGCTCTCGACCATGAGAACTTTAGATAGCCTTGGGCTAGACATCCAGCAAGCTGTCATTAGCTGTTTCAATGGTTTTGCTATGGATATCTTCCGTGCTGAGGTATTATTCCCTACAGTCATCAGTTCTTTACATATACAAACTTGGACTAATGTTATCATTGATGTACGTTTTGTTATCAGAGATTTGTCTCACATATTCAAATAAGAATCCACGCAATCTACTTTTAGATTGACAGTCAATGTAAACATGTTAGACTGTTTGTCGAGGACTGCATGTACTTATACTATTACTAAAAACCAGTGCTACAGCTAACTTCCCTCTATTTTCAGCAATGCAAGGAAGGTCAAGACGTCCACCCGGATCAGATAAAAGCAGTACTTTTGGAGTCAGTCGGGTTCCATGGCTTGATATAGATTGCAGCAAAACAACAAACTGAAGTTGCTTTAACCAAAGACAGGAGTCGTCATGCAATTTGTATATGTTTTGCTTTGCCATAGCTCAATTGCGTCGTGCATCAAATTTTAATTAGCAGCTTTTGAAGAAACTTTGTAGGTTTGCTTTGTATCATCAGAAAATTCAGCGTCAGTCAGACCTGGATTGACTGAAAGAAAAAAAAATTTTAATTCTCAGCCCTTATCTTTTCAAGTTCTTGAATAAATTGGCCCTTTAGAACCATTGTTTTTATCTAGTGGTGATTGTGTTTCATTTCCTCTCTGGGGTGATTGATTGAACCCAAAAACTATGGTCCATACCAAGGAGCTTCTATAATGAGGGGCCTAAGTTGGGGGTTTCAGTCCAGTCATCCAATAATAGCTATGTAATTGATTGGATGGCTGTTTAAAAGAATCCCTCGTTACAGTGTTTTTTTGTACTGGAATTGCAAATGTTTGTAAAACTTGGAAAGCGATTCCAAGTTCGAATCTCTTAAAATTAAAATGAATAAAGAAAAAAAGGGGATTTGAAAGGAAATAAGTAGACTTGGGCTTCATCCTGGGCTTGCCCATAACATAAGGCCTTTGTGATTTATGAGAAGCTGAAAGCAGAAAGAAAGGGACCACCCAATGGTCCCAACCTAAATATCCAGATCCCTGTGGGGTGTGGGGTGTGGGGTGTGGGGTGTTGGAGAGGTGCTTCCGTTGTTTGCATATGCTTTTGCCTGTCGTGGGTCATCGTGAATATTAGAATTCCACGACTTGCAGTTCACGAAAACGGTGTCGTATAGTATATATGGCTTGCATCGTCTTATTATATACTGATGATAATTTTCGTACAGTGGACACAGTCCTTTTTAACATCACAGTCAACACTATGACTTTGGGACACCCGGGAGAAAACGTCGTCGGTGACAACAATGTCATGTGTCCACTGTCTCTCAAGTCTTCAAGTTTGTTCACGTTCAGTTGAGGCCTAAAAAGTCTGCCAAAAAGATAAGTTGATGTCTAAACAGCACAATCAATGAAACCAACACCCCCAACAAGGAAATATCCCTAGCACTTGAACTCTGTATTTTAGGAAATATTCCTAATTTTCGTCGAGGGGTCAATTAAATTACATAAATTGACAGGTTCATTCATATACTAATTCAAGGGAATTTGTGGTTCAGAATTTTTCTGTTTAGGGCCAGTTTTGAGTCAATAAGATGAGGTCTGTTGTCAGGAGGCTTCCTCTTCTCTAATAAACAATGACATCTTATTTTTAGGCTAGAAATCAATGATCAGAAACAATTAATTTTTAGGTTATCTTCCAAGAATTATTCATGCAAAACATCAGCTACATCGAAATTGTTTAACCGTTCGATGACCCAAGACGTATACGATTCTGATCATTGAACACTATACAAGACTTTTACAGCAACAAGACGTATACGATTCTGATCATTGAACACCATACACGACTTTTTCAGCAACAAAATCCACTGGTTACTTACAAGTTACAATCATTCATTGCACAAATATCTTCAACAATGCCAGACAATGCTCAATATTTTATGATTTTGAAAAAGAAGAAAAACAAAACAATAGACTAAAATCATTAAGTAATTTCCTTCTTAACCCAAAAAGCATAACATCTGGCAATCTGTGCACTTACTTACATTACAAGGTTGGGAAAAACAGGTAAAACAGGTATGTACAAGGTGGAATTGTTTGAAAGAGCAAGGCCACATCGCCTCACTCGAAACAAAGGGTAGTATATATATATCTATATCTATATATAACCGGACACTTGAAAATAAACTAACTCCAGAACATGTCCAAAACTGAATAAAACCACATGTGCCGTCATCTATCTTGGACTTCTCAGATGAAGTTAAAAGTCCAATGGAGAAACAGCTTACATCCACCTCTGTTACTTCATATATCCGAATAGCTTAATAGAACTCTCACAAATGCACCGTCACTAATCTTCCCCCCAAAACTCTACAGATTTCCAGTAAGAAAGCATGATCAAAATGGCTAAAACGGGCATAAATGGCCAACAAAAGCATCTTTAATTATATATACCTAGTCATATACCTAAAAATCTTCAGAATCAGGCCTAACATTTTCCGGGAGTAGATGCTTTAGGAAGTAGCTGAGACTTCCCCTCTCTTGCATCTGCACCCTCCGCAACCAATGATAAATTCTCCTCCCCATGTGAATTTAGAGTTCCAGGGTTCATCTTTTGAACCTCCTCTCTGGTGTAGATGAAAATCTTCCGGACTATGCCACAAAATTCCCTGAAACACACATATAAGCAATGTAACTTTATCAGACTTGCAAGTACGAAGAGAATCAGTTTTCAGATTAAAAAAAGATAAATACTTACTGCCAGGGATCATCTCCAACAAGCATCATATCACCCTCATCATCAGTGTACACAATCAACCAATTCTTTTTCGGGGCCATCAGCTCACCGTCAAATTCAAACAATTTGTCCAATGCAGCAATCAGTTCCTTGTAGTTATTGAACTTCGTAAGATCAACAGACCTACCAAGTGCAATACCTTGTTTGTGAACCTGAAACCAAAAGCAACAATTAAGTACTGCTTCCGATACACTTTCATATTGTCAACAGAGTTCCAAATAAAGCCTACGAAAACACAATGTCAGGACGAGGAATATATACCTTGGTACAACTCCTAGTTGAACCTCCCTGTGGTTTAACCTGACCATCTCTGACATGTTGCTGAGAAGTTTGTAACAGTTTATCCGGCTCACTAACAGCTAAGGGATTCTCCACTGATTTTGTGCCCCTTGATTTATCAGACTTCTGGTCAGACTCAAAAGTATGAACTTGGTTATGGTGAGGTGACCCAATCATCGCATTTCTGTGTGACAATGCAGCCTCTGGTGCTATGAGAGGAATACCAAAGAGCTTGTAGTTTCCATCTTTAGGCTTCACAACCTCCTGTTTCTGTAATGACGCATGTTGTGGCATGACCTCCCTTGCATTCGCAGAATTCTCAAAATGTGATGGGGGTGGAGGCATTAGCCAATTTCCTTGTGGGTGGTCAACTCTATGACCATTCAGAACAGAATAGTCACTAAATACACCATATCTAGTATTCCCTTGCGCTTGGTAAGCCATATTGCCAATGGGAGGACCCTTAAGATTAGAGTCCAAGCTAAGGGACAGAGATGACGGCAACATGGACCATGACTGCAAGTTAAACTTGCCTTCCTGATCTAATGAATGCTTTCTCATTGAATTACCAACAGCTTGATCAACAAAAGGTGGACAGATACCACGCGAAGAATCAACACTAGTCCCAAAGCCTGACAACAGATCTGTGTAAGTTGGTTCATGCCTCCCTGAGGGCATCCAGTTCTCTGAACTATATCTTCTTGCAGAAACGACGTCAATCTTCTCATCATCTACCGAAGGTGTCCACGCAAGAGACTTTTCAGCAGTATCAGACTCGCTATCCACAAAATTGCCTCTCAAGGTCGAGAATTCTTGACCTTGCAAGACCCTTGAAAACCCACCTGGCATTGCAGGGTCTGCAGTTACTTTTGAGGAACCTACGAAAGACACAAAGAAGGATAATTTTAGTTCCTTTGGGTAGCAAGAACACTACAAATCTTCTGGATAAAAAACTTTCAGGTTTCTAAAACTGTACCTTCCCTGGTGAGAATAGACTCTGGAGACGAGGGTACCATGTTTGACCGAGGCCTTTTTGGCCGGGGCATCGGGAGGGGATTCAGTGCTGGAGGAGCAAGAGCAGGCTCTATTTTCCAAGGTGAAACTCTCTCTGGACGAGGTATGGTTGAAGTCTCATCCCATCTCACCTTTAAGAAACATAAGAATGTTAGCTTTAGCATACAAAATAACTAACAGCACATGGTGTCATAAGGAACTGATACTACCTTAAGGGATCTCCATTTGGAATCTCGCCATCTTTTGGTGTCAGCATCTTCAATTCCAATTATGGTACCAGTAAACCTACAAAAAGATAAAAGTCTTTACAAACTTTCTGGTTGAAGGGAGAGGAAGCATAACATAAAATCAGCATCCATCAACCATACCTCTGCTCCGGAGCTTCTTCACCTTCGAACCTCATCTTGAACCTCATACCTATAGAATAGTTGTTCTTAACAGACTCCATGTACTGGTCAAATGGAACAATGAATTCAGCAGGGCTTGTTCTGTAAACAAACATTTTCACAAGCAATTAGAAAAAATTCAAGCCTGAACAAATCAACAGGTGCAATTGTTTCCAATATCATCTCATAATAAGATCTCAAACTAAATGCTTAAAAATTCAAAGAAAACAAACAACACCTTGGCTTGTAGTACACAGTGAACATCGTCCCTGTTAAGATGGCGTGCCATGCAGTAGCAAGGACACCTAGGTGCATACTGTGACTAGATATCACTGAAGATGGGGCACTGCCTTGCTGTCTCATTGCACGTCTAACACCAACACGGAGCTCCCCGTTTTCACCCCTAGATGTTTACATGATGGTCCCATATAAGAACACAAGAAATCCAATTTAAAAAACCAATACATGGAAGCTCAAGTATGTAAGACTAACCTTAAAAATATAAATGCATCTCCTGCAACAAGCCTCTTGGAGCTAACAAAAACACTCCAACCACTTTGAAGCAAATGCCTCCGGGGTTGACCTGCCATTCCCAATATAATGTTAATTAAACGATACAAAGCTATAAAACATGTAGAACTTATTAGTCGCCAACAAAGCAAACCAAACTAAAACACAAAAGAATGACCCAAATATTAGTACAATCATCAACCTTGTCATTAACAATGGTCCCCAGACAGAGATTGGGTAACACAGCAAATCCACAGGAGAGTGATGAACTTAATAGTTAATATCAAATACATAGAAGTTACCTCGGAAGATATGGCGAAAGCGCCACTCATTTGCATGCAAATCTTTTGCAACCAACTCCTGGGTTGGAGGCTGGCGAGACATGTCCTACCAAAGAACAAGCCAAAAACAGCCACAAATAAGCTAATTTCCAGGGGGGATAAAACAAGGGAATGCATCAAACTACAAGGTCACAAAAACCAACCAGTGGTGGAAGGCATTCATCTGCGTGCCGCCTCAGCACTGAAAATCCACCATGAGTGCTTGTATCCGAAGCAGTTAGAGTCTTACAAAATGAATGTACTTGAAATCGAGGTGGTGGAGGGGGTGGAGGTTCCTTCTCTACCGCATTCTCATCTTGCTAAAATTTAAAAGAACATCAAACCATCAGAATCTCAACCATAATCAATTTCCCTCAAATATTCATAAACTATAAACCTTGAGAGGAAACTTACACTTGGCTCAGGAAGTAAAGTGACTTGTGCAAATACCTCATCAGTGTCCGGTTCAGCCTACAATTCAATAGCAAGAAATTTATCAATTTGTTTCAAAGCTAAAGGTCTGAAGTACATAAGAAGTTGCAAATGAATTAAAATTCATAGACTTCAAAGCCTAAATTCTTAATTTCTTTATGAGATCGGACAGTCACTACCTTCAGTTGTACATGGATAACCCGGCAAAGGATCTTTGAGGGAAGATTATACACAGGCATCTGTTGGTCAGCCACCTGATTAGTTGACGCCTCCACCTAATCAGGACCCAGAAAACACCATTGATTATTAGTAACGAACAAATATTCAAAAACAGAAACACTCCAGAAATGCTAGTAAAAAAAAACTCAAATGCCTAAACAAACAAAATTCCCCTTCGAAATCGCATCAGTTTACATCTATAATGAATGAACATGTATTGAACAAAAAAAAACAATTGATTACTCATCAACCTCATTAAAAGCACCGGCGCCCAAAGGAAGAGCCATGAAAAATGGAAAAAAAATGAAAAAATTTGAAACTATGTGAGCTGAAGCCAAAACATCGTTGGTAGAATAAAGAATTTGAAAGCCAACCTGCTCGATGTGTCCCTGAGGGAAGTAAAAGACACGCTCCCGTTCACGCGGCACAGTCACGAGCGGCCCAGCGCAGGCGTGCCAAAGCTCCGTGTAAAGTGCAGTCTCAGCATCTACATATAAATCAAAAGAATAGAAAACCACAACAATCAGAACCCATAGCACATGGAAACTCGAGAACCCACAACTTGTCGGCAGAAATGAAACCAAATTCGCCGGAATTACCTCTACCGGCGGCGGAAACAGTGGGATGACTGTTTTGCCCCTCTAAGTTATTCCTAGCATCGTTATGGTCACTGAAACCGGACGAGAAGCTATCTCCCCTCTGGTTCCCGCAATTGTCCTTTATCGAAACCTCCGATGACGTCATTTCTACAAAAGCTCAGAGCAGATCTCTCATCTGAAACTCTCAGCTGTACAATTTCTCAACTTTCACCCCCACCCCAAGATCCAAACACCCAAAACCCCTAGTCTTCAAACCACCACAAAAATCTATATATTCACCTCTGTTTCTCTCTCTCTTATACCTCAATTGAAACCCTAACTCAAAGCTCAAACCAGAAGCTGTATCTACCAATCTCCAACTATAAACCGCTCTCTGTCGCTCTGCTCGTACACTGGCTCGATGAAACCCCTTGGTTTCAGACCTCACAGCGAAGCTCTCTCAATTCTCAACCAATTCTATCGATTCGACCATCAATGTCCGCCTCTTCCTCTTCTCTATCTCTCTGTGCAACTCACGGTCTCTCTCTCTGCTTATCTCCCTCTCTTCACCTCGGCTCTGCATGCAGGAAGCAGCTCCAAGCTTTTGTTCTCTCTCTCTCTTTCCCTTTCTCTGAGTCTCTGAGTGTCTGAAAAATGGAAGAGGCTTAACCCTGAGTGGTCAAAACAGCGTGCAATGATTTCAACCGCAGTCAATTCCTAACCAAGTCTACCGCGACTCTCATTCGCCGGTCACCGAGTCCTTTTGCAACCGGTTATACCCGGTGGACAAGTCACCAAGCCCCATACAGCGACCGCCCGCTTACGTGTCCATTAGTAAAGGCGGCTCGGAGACAGTACAAACGACGCTCCACTCCACCGTTCGCAGGTGTCGTTTCCTGATTCGCGCGCCCGAGTGGGTAGCGTGTAACGGCATCCATGACGGCTTCCAGGTGTCGCAGCGTGAGTGTTGCAGTAGGTAGGAGGAGCAGGTAACGGCGTTAAGTGGGAAAAGTTGTTGTGTTTTTATTGGGAAGTGGCGTTGTCGTGCTATTTACGGGCAGGCTTGGATGGATGTAGGAGAGTAGGAGGGGTCGTACTTAATACACTCCCTTTTCGACTGTGCGCATCGTAACCATGGTTACTTTTTTTTTATTATTATTATTTTCTTTTCTTTTCTTTTTTTCTTGGCTTTGTGCCCTTCAACAGAACTCCTACATTATATAATTTTTTTTTATAAAAAATTTAATGATGTAGAAATTGACATGTAAATAATTGTATATACTTTTTTAGTTATATTATAATTCATGGTAATTATTTTATATTACTGATTAAATGTATGAGGTCGTCATTTAATGTATATTTTCAACTGATTAAATGTCAACTTGAGTAGTACAAATGCATTGCAAGGCTAAGCTATAAGTCTAGTATTTGTTATCTAAATAATAATATTAATAATAGTAATCTTGGGTCCATACAATTAGGTTAATTTGGGATTAGTCTATTGATTTGCCCCTCCTGCCTAGCGTTCATATAAGGACTTGTAACCATTTTTCCTTATTTAGGGGGGTTAGCCCATAGATTAGGAAGACACCAAATTTGGATTAGGATCAACAGGTACCTATTTATAGCTAACTAACCCTTTTGATAAACTACTTATTGTGGTCTCCTGCTCAAATGGAATCAACAAAACTTGGTACCCAAGCTTGAACTTGAATGACAGTAACTTTTAAATAATGTTAGGCATTGACTGTGACATTCTAAGCTTGTACTTAAAGACAATTCAAGTGTCCCATGTATGAAATCAAATGCGATACATCTTAACTCTTCATCGCACTGTAATGTCAAACCCGTAAGTTCTCAAGTTAAGTTGTTTCAACTTAAAAATTGATGGGAAAACAAAACCTAGCGATTAAATTCTTATAAACTTAGTTTGCGTAACGCAATTCCTAATCACCTACAATTTGTATTACCAAATAGCAGCGTTGATTTAGAAGTAATCCTAATTGTTGTCACATCATGTGCTAACATTTCCATATATGCATGGACCATCTAGAACATTGGCCTTTCTATTTGTTCATTAAGTTTCGCTTGTTGTAATAAATTCAAGCAACCTATGCAAGCAAAGGTCCTCTTAAATTTATAGGTTATACTTTTACATTCATATAACTTCTTAAAATTTATAGGCACAAAGACCATCAACCATAGGGGTAAATACAAATAATTTCGGCATAAAAGTCGCATAACTGAACAAACCAGACATGAATCGCGGCACCTAAATCTACCAATACAATAACTTTTAACTCTCACAAATACAAAATACAAATAGAGACTATAAAACAATCAAACACGTAACTCACAAGAAATTAAAATAATTAAATTTCTGATTTCAGCAACCTTCGCAAACAAAATTAGGTTCCAATAGTATAAAACTTGGTGTAGACCCTTAGAAATGAGGAGTAAAATGAAGAAACTACCTCCTCTCTAGGGTACCCTAGTTAGTAGGCTAGTAATTGGACCAAAATAAAAACCTCATTCTAAACGTGCCATATATGTATCCCATTTGTCAAGATATTAAAATAAGGACTCTGTGAAAAGAACCAAAAAAAATAAAAATAAAGGGACAATGTGATATTGAATGTGTACAATTAAATTAAGGGTTGTTTAGCTCAATAATTAATTTGTATAATCTTATTTTGGGTTGAAAATGAAACTAGGGAGGGCAAGTCGCGTGTGGGGGGTGGCAAAGGTTGCAGAGGAGGGAGGGCGTAGAGAAGGGAAGGGAAGAAAGTGTGCGGGGGCCCACGTGTATTGTCCAATAGCAGGTGTGTATGGTCTAAAGCAACTAATGGAGGAATCTCAATCTCTGTCCCGGAAAAAGGTAATATCCTCGTAATCCTGTTTAATAATAATTAATTAAAAATTAAACAATTTTTACTCTTTATTTTAACTTTACACTGTTAAAGTATCTCTCTTTTCAAACATGAAACTGTTGTTTTCCGCACAATTCACAGATGCTGAAGGACACAAGAAGCTCACAAAGCAAAGGTTCCTCTTGACATTCCCTCCCTTCACCCTTTTTGATGGAACATAAATTTTGGGCTATTTAGGTGTGGCCACTAGGTGTGAACTCGGTAGGTTAACGAAACTTGCTTATTTTAATTGACATATTTTCTCTTTATGTTTAGGTTGTTCAAGTATTTCATAGTACTGATTATGTATGATCTTTCGATGTACTCTCGATAAGTCAATGAATTTTTTTTTCTTGTTTCGTTACCCTCTCTCTTTGTCTCTATCATCACGTGACCATTACATGAGGATAGAAAACCCAAGAGACATGAATGACTTGAAAGGAATGAAAGATCCCGATTATGTTGTCCTTGTAGTGAAAAAAAGTTTGCATGATTTGAGAACCTTGCTTTCTTTGTATACTAACCTATTAAAACTACCACACACGGTTTTTATATAGTCACATATAATAAAAACAAAACAAGGACAAGTTTTTCTGGTGTATTGTCTCTTCCACTATCTTTTCGTATTTTCTTTAGATTTTATTCCTAAATAAAATAATTGCAACTCAAATAAAACTCAACTGGTCTCCATTTTACTTTTGAATTTTTTTAAAATGTTATTTTCATTGCTTCTATTTATCAAATCAAATGCTAACTATATAAATCGTACCGAAAATAATAGAAAATATATTTCTAGGACACTTAATCAAACAAAATATTGTTATAATTTAATATCAATTTTTTATACCATGAAATTGAAAAGAAAAAAAAATAGGATGAGAAAATATAAAGTTGCAATTATTTTTTTTTTTTTTTTTTTTAAAAAAAAACTCAAATTTATACGCGTGACATACTATTAGAACCTTAACGTGCATATGTTCGAGGACCCAACCTTGTATAATTGTGGAGAGCACTGTGACAAGTCACCCATCGAAATAGAAAGCAAGAAAAGTGAATAAAACGTGCGTATTTTGGTTCCCACTAAAAATCAAGCAAAGCCTCCTTTACCTAACTTGTACTGGGGCTATTTTGGGACCAACATATACTATAGTGCAGTGGTGGTTCACTTGCCCATTTGAAATTGATGTACCATTATTTTGTGTGGTGTCATTGGCATGAGTTATTACTCGATTTGTATTGGATTGTCCTAAAACTTATCACATAAGGTTGTTCAATCAAGACATGTGTGTATTGTGAAAGAGAATGGTTATATCTCCTCTGTGATATTTTCTAGAATTGAATTACGATTGTTCGTGAGTGATTTTCAATCATTCATACATGCACTGTATGCGTCTCATTAATACGTACGCGGTGAGTTAATTTGAGCAAAATATCATTTCCTGTGTAAGGGTCATTTTCAACTCTCACGCATGATCTTTTCATCCAAAAAAAACCTATATAAATTACTACAAAAGTAGTTTTTTTTTTAATTATGCTGCAATTTCCCATATAATTTGATTATTTAATGGGACGTAGAGTGAGAGGTGTTTGACTGACTGGTGAAGCTAGAGAAATCGGCCTACTCTTTTTATTTTTTTAACAGTAAATAAAGTGGGTCCCGCAGCACAAGGTGTCTCCTAATTAGATTGCAATTAATCCAACGGGTGGGCCCAGGCTTCCTCTGCCTCCTCCCCACTTAGCAGTTTGGACACTCCCCTAATCCCTCTCTCCTGACCCCTAACCCACAGACCAAACCCAGTCATGTCTTTCTCAGCTCAATTAACCTTTTTTAGTTTTTTCATGTAAAAGTTTTTCTTTATTATTTCGAATTTTTTTCGCTTAATAATTTTGCTAATCTCACCGGGGAGAGTTCAATCGTCTTTGTCACAGCCAACGTCAGCATTACGGATCACACATCCAATGACAGGTTACGGGCCTGAAACGGGATTTAGATTGTGGTTTGCGGAACTCAAATCGGTATTGAATTCAGTTAGGAAATTCATGGGACAACTGACTTCTTTTTATGACCTAATAAGGTTTCGCCACGTGGAATTAATGTCATCTTGGTGACGCGTGGACCTCGCTGGTATATCCTATAACGCACAATCGTTTATACGGTATCTGAGAATTTTGGTTGCGTCCTAAGACCTGCACGGGGTTTGTGTGACTATGGTTCGGTAGCGATGGAACACGTTACGGGCTGACGTCATAATTCAAGTGCAACCCATATTACAAATTAAAAATAATCCAAATGAGTTTGAATAGAAGTAGTTATAGCCCCTTGGCACGTAAGAGTGTGCCAATTGGTTTTATTTTTTTATTTTTTATTTTTATAATTAAAAATAAATAAAATTGATAGTTATGTTACATAAAAATAAGATCATTTAAAATTTTTTTTTAAAATATGAAAATGTATAATTTTTTTTAAAAAAAATATGAAAATGTATAAATTTACCATATTATTCTTATTTAATTAATACTTATAGTTCTTAATGTTTGCTATAACCAATGGGCATTTTTCGGTGTATATATATAAAGCAAAAGGGAAAGAATTGTGAAACATTTAAAATATTAAAAAATGCCACTGGTTAATGCAAATATTATTAATTAAAATTATCAAATAAATGAGGGTAATATGATAAATTCACACTTTTTCATATTAAAAAAATATTAAAAAGAAAAGAAAAAACAAATAATGGATCCTATTTTTATGCAAAACAACTACCCATTATCTTTTTTAATTCTAAAATAAAATTTAAATTATAAAATAAAAAAATAAAAAACCTCACGCAAGCGCTGAAGCGCGTGTGGAGAAGCTAGTAAAATATAAAATTCTAATTTAATAAGACAAGTGCTTGAATGTTTCACATGAAAAATGTAAGCTTAGGTTGTAAATCAATCAACTCTAATTGGTAAATTATAAAATGTGGTGATTTTCCCACTTCTTTTTTGTTCTTAAATACTTTAATTTTAACCCAAAAAAAAAAGGA